AAATGTTTATTCAAGACAAATGGCTGATCTAGCTAAGAACGATGAGATTCATGTTATTTAAATAGCTCTATTTCCAACCCATTTCTCCAACTGCATGATGTCCTTGGGAAAAAAAAAAAAAAAAAACAAAACACCTTACCATCACACCATCACAGGGGCATATTTGTTCCTCATGGTATCTGCCTAACCTCTAGCATTATTCTTTAAATGCAGTAGGTTCTCATTTAATATTTGATAAATAAGTTTTCATTTAAAGTTTTTTGGATCTGGGCCTACTCTCTATTCCAAAATGAAGTCTTTGTACAGGTCACTGGACCTCTAGAACTGGTACCTAGTTTCTTGCCTTTGATTTTTTTTTATATATTGCTGCCAGAGTTATCCATCATGTATGCTAATTCGACCATAATTACTCCCCTCCAAATCATGTCAATAAATGACAATTTATTAATGTCACCCAATAAATAAACTTTGATTTACTTTCTGACCATAGTCTACAGCACAACTCTGTTGCTCTTTACACATTCCATCCCAATAATACAAACTTACTTGTTATGGAAGTGCAATGACTAATTTTTGCAACTCTTGTTTATTCCCATTGCTGTCATATTTGCTTTATCTTCATTCTTTTGGTCTTGAATTTCCATGTTTATTTTATAAAGCTTTCTGTATATGTATTTTGTATTAACATTAGAAAAATTAGAACTAAGCAACAGAGGAGTAGGATGTGGATGGTAGAACAGATGTGATGATTCTACAGTAAAGTCTTATGACATCTGGAGTTAAATTAGAAGAATAATTTTATATACGTATGATGGATAAAGTTATACCAGAAAGTATTGTTAGTTGTATTTTGTTTGTAGTCTGACCTGATGTTAGTATGCCTGAGTTCAGCTAAAAGTAATGTCAATTTGGGAAGGAATGATGAAGAAGCTCTAGGTCATGCATAGTAATTTATCTTAGCTAAGATTTTAATGAAAGAGTATCCACAGTATTTGCTATGAAATATTCATGTGACTCTGTAGTTCTGTGATCTTGGGTGGGGGAAAATAAAAAGGAAGGAATTAAGACATTATTATGAGCTTCCTCTAATTTTTTTTAAAAAGAGGAAGGTATTTATATTTTCACTAAATAAAAATTTATGTTCAGTAAATTTTTCAAAAGGTCATTTTGCACACATGCTCACTATTCTCCCACTTTGTTCTATTACTTTAAACTGGACTAGTCAGTTTCCTCCCTTTTGCATCTATTATAACGCTATGTATCCTACAAATTCTCAGTCAGTCAGTCAAATTGATATCCATCAGTCCTAAAGTCAAAATCTTTCCTCCAAGGAAGCTTAGTCTGAATATGTCAACACTTTTTACCATCCTACACCACGTAACTTTACCCAACCATTTTCATAAGAATTTGGGGCTTGTAAAGTCTGTCCTGGACCTTTTTTTGGTATATTGATTTTGTTTTTAAGGTGATGGTATTAGCTCTAAAAGACCATACACCATTAGAATAGGTAACCACCAAGGTTTGAGGAATGATAAACCCTCAGGCCCCCAAAATTTCTTTTCCAAAGACTAGTAATTTCCATCATTAGAGAGCATTATTTTAGATTATACTACAAATACCATTTAGGAGAGAGGAATAACTGATTAAGTCATCAATACTTACAGTAACCTCACTTACCATCCTTAGGAAACCAATAATTTCAAAAAGCCTAAAGACTGGTATATGTTAAAGGGGAGAAAGGCAAAGAGACAAGTCTAGATCCTGAAAAATCATCTGAAAAGAAGAGGTCTTGGTAGAACATACTTGAACGTGGCATGAAGACTAAATATAGGGGAAGTGTGGAATCAGAATGAGGATAAGGAAATAGAGAAGGAAGAAGAACATTCACTTTGTTGTCTACCTTACAAATTAGGCTTAGTGCTGAGAGTTTTCAAAAGATATAATTTTCACTGAATCCAAGTAGAACTACAAGAATGGAGTATCCCAGATAACCATTCACTGTTGAATAGAACTCATGTAATTATTAAAATATTAATTTATAATTACAAATTAATTTTCTCATATACTTACGGATTTGAGAAAACACGAGCAGGGAAAATACCCTGGGCTGTGGCAGGAGCCTGACGTGCTATTTATCAGAAAAAGAAAATTATAATTAGTCTGTATCCTTCCCCAGCAGTTGTAAAATTGTAATTAAGATCCTGTAGCAGGTTTATTCTCTGTTATCACTGCCGTGTTTAAAAGTATCTAGAGACTCTTACACAAAGTCCAAATTCCTAAGCAAGACATAAGATACACATATAGTTGATTTCTCTCCTACCTGTCCAGTGACTTCTCTGGCTAGTCTTTCATATGTATTCTATGGTCCAGACATACAGAATAACTTATAATTTCTTAAATGTACCATGTTTTCCATGCCTCTGGGCCCTTGCTGTTTCCTTTGTCTAGAACACCCCATTCCTACTTTTAACTTCTCCTTTAGGTTTTATTCTGGAGTGGTAGGCAAGTATTGAAGCTGATGCCTAACCTATGGGCATTGGCCATAACTACAAACTTAATAGCAGGTCAGCTGATGTAAAACAAGGCGTCAGGGTAAACAAGATGAGGGATTAAAATTAAGAACCCCTAAAAATATACTGGATCCCTAAAACCTCCATCTACTGTGAAAGAGTTGGCCCTCCCTCAAAAAAAAAAGCATCCCAGAGAGGCAATACAGACAAGTTATGTTTTGGCTTCAGCTGTGGATAAAAGAGAAAATAAAAATCTCTTTTTAGAATTCATAATCATAGGTTTTCTTTTATATGACTCTGAGGTTCAAATCTACTCTATGGTCCATAAAATTCCAAGTGGGAAATTAATTTAGAGTGAACCTGTGTTTATAGCTCTTCCAGATGCCCAGCAGACACATATGATAAAATTTTAGCAGCTTTACTGAGGTATAATTAATATTCAAAGAACACATACTTAATGTGTTCAATTTGATGAGTTTCTATAATGTAATACATCCTACCCAAATACAGAATTCTCAACAATACATTTCTGTCAAAAATGGGCTCATATAGAACAATAATAACACCACCTCCACACACACAGATGAATATGAAGAAACAAAACACCATGCCTGTTAGCAGAAAATAAACAACAACATACATTAGACTTAGACCTCAAAAACAGCAGATATTTAAATTACCAGATACAGACTATAAAACCAGTACATCTTTTTCAAACCAGTGAATTTTATATGTTTAGATATATAAAAAATGGATTGGAAACACAGAAATGGAACAAGAACATACAAAAATGTCCAGTTAAATGTGAAAAATAACTATTCAGAAATTATATATAATGTTTAATATAATAAAAAAATTTAAAACATCGAATTGATAAAATAGTAAATTAGATATAATCAAAGAGAGAATTGGTTAATTGGAGGACAGATTTGAAGAATTTAACCAGAATGTAGCATAGAAAATTGGAAAATAAAGTTGTTAAATGATGTAGAATAAAAATAGGTCTAATATGTATATATTATATGTCATAATATATATATTATATATGTATTTATACAGAGAGAAGAGATCTAATACACACACACCTATATTTGGAGATTCAGAAAACAAGAACAAAGAAAATGATGAAAGTCAATGTAGAAAATAGCTGAAACTTGTAAAGAATTGCTTATTATAGTAATACTAAAAAAAAAAAAAAAAAAAACAAAGGAAAACTCTTAAAAGCAGCCTGAGGTATGTGCTGGGCAGCTGGGAAGGAGAAGAGAGATCCCTTACACAGAAAATATGAAATAGAACAAAAAGTTGGACATTTAAGTAGAACAGTATCTTTAAAGTGCTAGAAAAAATACTATACCCAGAAACTTGTAAACACAGCCATAATTACATCCTAGAACATGAGTAAAATACAGTTTATCATATAAAATCTGAGAGTTTACTCTCAAAATCTGTTCATTAAATTTCTAAATTTAATTTCTAAAAAAGGCATTTATAAGAATGGATGTACTTTAGGAAGAATGAAAGTTTCTATTATGTATAAAATTTAAAACTATATTATTGGTTGAATATGATATAATGACTTAAAGTAAGTTATTCTAAGTCTGAATTTTATTTTAAGTATGTTAAAATTTAAAGGTAATTATCAAAAGAAATATACATATAGCATACAATTTCCAAAACGCTAGAGAGGAAACTGGATTTTAAAAAACTGAATACTCTAAAAGCAAGAAAGGGAAACAAACAAATATTAAAAAGAATGAACTGAAAACATGTAAGGCAGTAAAAATCTTCCAAAAATTTGTAATTAACAAATGTGAATGTAAATTTAGTTAAAAGTAGTAAACTGTAAGACAGAATGAAAATAAAACAAATTCCATGGGTAGAGTATTTACAAGAGACATTTAAATATCTAAACACACTAAGATTGAACGCCAATACAGCTATATTAATATCAGATCCTTTAAATTTATGACAAAAACATCAACTTACAATAAAGGTCACTGTATAATAATAAAAGACTCAATTCACCAAGATAAACTTGCATATGCCTAATAACCCAGATCAACAAATAAAAAGCAACAATTAACTACATGGAGGAATATTGAGAACTATCTTATCATTTCCAATAATTTTTAGAACAAAGAGTTTAAAAAAAGTAAGTGTATAGAATGTTAGAATTGAACAATTAAACACCTTGATTGAATGGAAATTTTTAGAACATTGAACTCCCTATTGACAACATTCATTGTTTTCAACCACACAGAACATTTAAAAAATTAATCATATGTGCCAAACCAATAGAACAATTTTTCACATATTTAAATTAGAAATCAATAACAAAAAGAAAACTAGAAATCTAGTATGCTTAAAATTTAAAAACAAGTTATGAATACAAAATAACAAAATTGAAATTTAGATATAATTTAGAAAAGAACAAAAGTATTGTACACTAGGTGTTGCAGAACATTCAAAAATTTACATATTAAGATTACCAATTATTTTTAATCTTACCAATTAAGTGTCACACATTGTTCTAAACACTTTATAAATATTAACTTATTGAATTGCCATGGCAATCACATGAACTATGTACTATTATTATTCTCATTTTATAGTTGGAAAAACTAAAGAATAAAGTTAAATAAATTGGCCAACCATAAGTTTTAAGTGTTGGAATGTGGATTTAACTTAGGTAGGTAGTATGGTGTCAGAGTATATGTTTTTACCATTGGGCATACTTGCAATCATCTGATCTGTGTGGATAGGATATAGGAAGACTTTATCAATAAATTTGAAAACTTAGATGAATAAATTTACAGGGAAATTTTTTTTAAAACTTGAAAAGAAATAGAAAATGTGAATAGTTTTGAATTACTAAAGTAATTGAATCCATAGTTTAAAATTTTTCTCACTAAGAGAGCCAAGGGCAGGTTAATTATTTTGGCAGCAATTTTTACCAAACGTTCAAGGAATACATAATTCCAACTCTAGAAACTTCTAGAAAGCAAGAGGCAAAATAACTCATGAAGCTAGTGCAATCTTGACATAAAAATCAAACCAAGAAAACTATGAGAAATGAATATTGCAGTCCAACTTCTTTCAAGAACCCAGATGCTAAAATTCTATAAAAAAAAAAAATTACTGGAAAACCTAACCTAAATATATATAAGGAATATATGATAAACAAAATGATTTAATCATTCTGGTTGCTCTAACAACAAAACACAGTCTGAACAGATATATAAAATATATTTTCAAAAAATCAGCATTCACTGATAAAGAAAATTTAGCAAATCAGACATAGAAGGCTATTTCCTTAACCTGGCATTGTTATTGTTATATACCAAGATATTACAGTGAACATGATATATAATGATGAATAATTTTAAAATATACATATTTTTGTAATCGGAAAGAAGACAGGAAGCCCACTTTCATTACTTTATTTACCATTTTAAGAAGACCCAAGAAATGGAATGAGTACCAGAAACAATTTAAAAATATAAGATTAGAAAGAAATTAACTTAAGCTTTCATGATTATATTATAAAACAAAAGAATCACACAACAGATAAGAAGAATTAATTAGAGAATTTGGAAAGGTTGCTGCACACATAATCGTCGTGCAGAAATCAATCACATTTCTATATATTAGTAACAAGCAGTTAGATAGCATACCATTTTGTGAGACTGACACGCTGCCTATGGCACTAAGGAGGCAACTGATAACATACCATTTTAAACAGCAACAGAAGTATTAAGTACCTAGGAATAAATTTAACAAAAGCTATGTAAGAGTTATCTGCAGAAAATTACTAAACTTAAAGAACTGTAATTTCCATAAAATAGAGTGATAGACCATTTACATTGATAGGGAGAACCAGCATTGTAAAGATACCTATTCTCCCCATATTGATCTATAGTTTCAATGTCAATCACCACTTCAGCAGTGGTGTGTGTGTGTGTGTAAAAGAGAGAGATGGGAAGGTTGAGTTGTATGAGTTCTTTATAAATTTGGGATATTAATCCTTTATCAGATGTATCATTGAAGAATATAAGGATGTATATATATATATGGAGGGAGGTAGGGTGAGAATTAGCCAAAGTATCCCAGAAAAGAATAAGAAAGTGGTAGAAGTGGCAGCAGCTGGGGCAGGGGTGTGAGGTGTTTTTCCCTTGTTGATCTCAAAATCTTAGGAATTATCAAAAGTATGATACTAGTGCAATGAGAGACAAACTGGTCTTTTGGAACAGGATAGAGAAATCGAAACAGATCTACACATTTATGGTATCTGAACATCAATGATCTAACATTCCAGATTAGCAAGTGAGGACAGACTGTTTAAGGAATAGTTCTGGGGCAACAGTGATTCATGTGGAGAAGGCAAGGAAGGTGAGGAACTGAGATACAATTTTACTTTGAGAGAACCTGAAGGGGAGCTCCACTGGTAGACTGTATTGCTCGACCCAGAAGATAAAAAAGGGCTGCAAATTATACCTGGGGGAGGTTAGGAGCAGAGAGATTCACTTTCTCTTGGCAGAAGGCTTGATAATTACTAGTCTAATAATTCTGTCCCCTTTATGAAGAAATAGTTGTGGTTTCTTTTACTTATTGGTTTTCT